TGTCCTATTGAAAAACTAATAAGCACAGGTCAGGTGACTCAGGTGCCATTTCTGTCCTGTAGAAATTAATGCTTTCAAAACACAGATTTCTGAAAAGGCCTGGTGCAGACTGAACCAGGTCAGAAAGGTTAACCTACGTGTCAGTCACAGTCACTGGGATGGGTGGGCTTTATTGAGGCCCAGGTCTGATGGTTTTAACATCTGCAAAACACAATAATAGGTCAAACATAACAACACATTAGGAAATTAAGCAAACAATCACTGAATTGTTTAGGGAAACAGAAGATCAATAAGAGTTTAAAATTCAAATGCTTTTGGTAGACAGGAAGGTAATATAAAAGTCAGAAGAGACTGAAGTTCAGACAATAGGGAGGGGCTGCAACTATGCAACCTGAGGATGCACACCTCCCCTCCCAAATACATTCAATTCTTTTAATTCTTTAAAAACATTTAAATCCAGTGCTGGTCAAACAATTCAGGGCCTCATTTGGCGTGCAAGGTCACCAGTTTGAGACCCCTGACCTTTACTACTATCAGGTCTCAGGCCTCCACCACCAGGAATTGTAATTTTGGTGTGGGACTCTAAGTCCTAAAAAAGATAAATGCCCAGACCAGAGTACTTTAACCATTAAAAGTGATAGGGCAGTGGGCAGGCAGGTTAACTATCAGTGTAAAGAAAGTTTTGAAATGTTTAACAGCAACTGGAGTACAGGTTAACAAGGGAACAGGAGCATTGTGACTGGATTTGAATTACAAAACTATAGCTCCTTAAATGCCCCCTTAACTGGGGCAGGATTGGGAGGCTGGGGGGATGGAGGGGTCAAGAGTCCCCATTTCTAAAACCTGAAATGACATTCAGTATAAAGCCAAGTTACCTGGGACAGATGCCATTTTTATATATGAAAAAGAGTTTAGTGTTAGTCTTTTTAGGAATTAAATACATACATTTGTTCAATCTTTGACTCTTTAGGATGACGTCTAAAAATTTCTATTCCACAAACACAAAGAACAGCTGTAGCCAAAAACTGCTGTACATTAAACATTCTGTTAGGNCTTTGACTCTTTAGGATGACGTCTAAAAATTTCTATTCCACAAACACACCAAAGAACAGCTGTAGCCAAAAACTGCTGTACATTAAACATTCTGTTAGGAAATGACACTTCATTAAGCAACTCTTAATTGCTTTACATTTTCAAATGTCCAAATTTCTTTTTGAGTACTATGTGTACTATTTGTAAAATGCAAGTTCATTAACATGCACATACTTTTACCATTGGTTTGAACTCTTTAAAATGCAGATACAAAATTTTCAAGAAGAGGGATGTCAGGGTGTCAAGGTTGGTAAAAGGGACCTGGGGACTTATGAAAGCTGTAATTATGATAAGCACGTTTGTATACTTGTTAGGGGTGGGGTTGACAGAATTTGGAGAGCCAAAGCCCCCCAAATCTCCCTCATAACAAAGTCCTGGCACATGGTTTATAACATATGGAACCAGGTTTTTTAATTTCTTCATTTAGTTAGAAACAGAAACATGGTACATCTGACTGGCAATAAAGTATGACTTTGTTTTATAAAGATGTTTCATAATGCCAGTTAAAACCCTCAATCTATATTTTGTAATGCAACCACTTTATGTTACATTACACAAATTTTAAATATGACAATTATGTACCATTAAATAGTCCACTTGCCCCAAATTTAAATAATTAGCTTTTGCTTTTTTATTTTTTAAAAAGCTAATTATTTTGAATACTTTAAATTAATTTAGTTGTGTTGTATTATAATTACAGCTTACATTGGAGTTTAAAAAAATCCGTACTTTTTTAAAAGATCCTGTTAAATGTAAGAGATAAGGCAAGCAATGCACTATAGGAAAGAGCCAGGAGCAAGGCACCAGAAAAAACCTGCAAACACCAAGGAAAACACCGAATAAAACAATTTACTCTAGTCACTTAACACATATTTAATGAGTGCCTACCATATGCCAGGCACAATTAATAAATATGTAGAAAATTAGCCAGGGCTAATACCCTAGAGTTCCAAGAAAAAAATCTAGCTTCATAGGCACATAGATATACGCCTCATTCCCACTCAGAGGCCAAGCCAGCACACCACCAATAAGCCACTTAAACCTCCTATGAAATAGTTCAAGTTGTTCCTTATTTTGTATCCACCAACGCATGGGATTCCAATAAGTACCACCACAAAGGTCCAGTAGTGTCGCAAAAAACCCCAAAAACCAAAAACCAAAATCCCGCCAACCTCCCCCCCTTAAATATTAAAGTTTTTAAAATATTTTCTTTTACTTTTCATTTGTAGTAAAAACATTTAGTTGGATTGCCTTTAAAGGCGCCAGTCATGTAAGCTTCTAGAAGCACCCTTTATAACCCACTATCAGAAATTTAAATTGTGGGATTATGTTACTTAACATATGCAAAGCACTTATAAAAAGTGCTTATGCATTCTAGGTATAATTGTGATTGTTAATTGTTCTCTATTATTCTTATATTTATTAGACACTTGTAGATAAAAAGCAAAATCCGTGCAGCAGAGAAACCGCAGGAGGGCGGGGCTATGCAGCCAAGCTCAAGTAGAGAAGGCGCGCAGGCGCAGAGTTGGGCCCGATGGGGTGGGGGATAGCTCACACTGCGCAGGCGCAGGCGGCTCTGGGGGAGGCGGGGCTGTAGGCCAACTCAGGAGGCTGGCTTAGGGAGGGGCCGAGCTCTGGATAGGCGGGGTCTAGGGGAGCCCCCTCAAAGGAGGCGGGCTCCGAGGGAGGCGGGGTCTGGGGAAGCGGGGTCTAGAAGGCGCGCTCTGGGAGGCGCGCTCTGGGAGGCGCGCTTGGGAAGGCGCGTTCTGGGGAGGCGCGCGCTGGGGAGGCGCGCACTGGGGAGGCGCGCTGCGGAGGAGGCGCGCTCCAAGTAGGCGCTGGGAGGCGCTAAACCGGCTCTGAGCAGATACCGCAACGAAGGCGCGCTAGAATGGGCGGGGCAGGTCTGAGACTGGCTGCATGCCTCTCGCAGGATCCCCCCTCCCAAAGCCCTCCCACCAGCCTCCAAAAGCCAGATTCATTTCATGCAACAAGAGCAATCCCCTCCAGACCCAAACCCTCCCCAATACTAAGCAAACCAACAGTTTCCACAAACTGTTGCTGGACGCCGAATCGCGCCACCGCTACAACTATACCGCGACTTCAATCAAGCCCAACTAGGCAGGGCAGCCCGCTCTGCCACCACCAAAATATTCCCTTTTACACTCAAGGCAGGGCCCCTCCACTCCACTGCTATAGCAGGAATGGTGTAGGCAGAATGTTAAACGCTAATTTTTGCCTGGGGCTCCATTTTGTCTACCACCACCAGCACGCAGAGAACCGACCTGCAGAAAAACGTAGTGGGAGCCATTCCAAAAGGTATGTTAGAGACAAAGGGTGGGGTTCCCCCCTCTAAGAACACAGAGTAATTTGACTCTGAAGCTTACATCCCTCTACAGCTGGTTTCTTTGTAGCGCCAAACAGTGCAGCTTGGATATCTCTGCAGCTGTTATTACTTTGTAGAGCGTTTGAGGGTATAAATTGTTCTGCAGCTCATGTACCTCTGCAGTTCCTGTGCCTTGTAGCGTGTAGCTCAATGAAGCGCTGTTGTAGTGCAATCGTATCATTTTTGTAGCGCTAATCTTCTGCAGCTTAGATTTTATAGCGCACTTAAAGCGCAAATCGGTCTGCAGCTCATAGATCGTTGCCGTTTCTACTGGTTTGTAGCGCTCTGAAGCGCCCATCAGTCTGTAGCGCAATTGAAGCGCTTATCAGTCTGTAGCGCATGAAGCGCCAATTAGTTTGCAGCGCGTATCACTTTGTAGCTCATTTGAAGAGCAAATTCCAAATTGGCCTGTAGCTCATGTCCGTCTGCAGCTCATGTCTGTCCGCAGCTCATGTCTGTCTACAGCCCATATCTGGACTTAGGTTCTGGAAATCATAGCCCTGAAGGCTTGGTTTCTCCACTCTGTTTTGGGGTACAGCCAGTGAAGGCGTGACAAGGTGTGGAGATATTCAGGGGAGCTACTCCATCTCCCGATAAGAATGGGGATTGAATCTGATCTTGAAAAAAAAAGTCCTCACCGCATACTCACCACGCGAGGACTCCTCTGCGAAGGCAGGAAGGACGGGGTCCCACACCTGTGCCAGGCGAGGGCTCCGCTGGGTGCTCCGCAAACCGGAGTGGCTCCGGTTGCGGGCCCGCTCAGCGGACCTTTCGCGAGGCTCGGTGGACCCTCTCCGCGGTTCGCTGTGCTCCCAGGTCGCAGTCAGGTTTCTTCGACACACACCAACCGAAGTTGAAGCGCGTGTACCCAGAGCGCAGACTGGGAGCCTTATATAGGCTGAACAGAGGAGGGGGGCGCCAAATCCCAGCGTGCTCCGCGAGTTAGGGGGGCGGA